ATTAACTGATTAATTAAATTTAATTAAGCATTTAATAAAAATTTTATTAATTGCATAATTAAATTTAATTATTCAATCAATTAAATTTAATTAATGGATTAATAAAAATRAYTTCACCSGTGTTCAAAACTTGTATTCGGGGTTYGCCCCTTTMAGTATATTAACTATGATCCAATCACAGAATGACTCACAGGGAACACTAGCCGTCGTGTAGACTTGTTTGATTTATTTAAGTCCACAAAGTGGCGAACAATATATTATTGTTCGCGCGGCGCGCAAAAAACAGTAAAAGAACGGTCCCTTCGGTACCTCTCCAGGCGGTTACCGAAGTGTAGTCCCAACAGTTCATACGCAATTACTCTGAAGTACTCGTACAGTAACCAATTACTACTGTAAGGCATAAATGTTACTGTACCTCGTAGAAATGACTCCTGTAGCAAATGGAAAACTGAAAAGGCGAAGCTTAAGAAACAAGAAAAGAAAGATGTGAAGTGAGCATGCCTGAACTGCTGTAGATTCCATTGGTACAAATTGACTCAAAATTACAAATTGACCGGCACGCGCTTGGAAAACGAGAATTCGAGCATAACATTACAACCTTTCGTTATAAGCAACGGGTTCAGGTTCAACAAGAACGGCATACGGTACTGGGCACTCATCCGAGTTACAGTACTATTTTCGCATCGTACAGGTTCGCTAAAAAACAACATCTTCGTCGTGTCACATTAAGGTGCCATAGAACCCTGTCGGCTCACATAGTTCGCAAAGAAGAACAACGAAGTGGACAGCCAAAATTCCTCCCCATCGAAACCAACACAAGCATCCGTCGATCGTTTCTGCCTATTTCCCCCCATTGATCCGAGCATGTCGCCGAGAAGGTCGTTGTCGAAGAAATCGACCGTGACGGTCGTCCACCCAAAGAGCGGTCGGTCGATGGATCTATCCGGAGAGGAACTCGATGAGTTCTGCAGGGGGCACGGTCTCTGTCGTCGTTGCGCCAGGGTAATTACCCACAAACGAGTGTTCAAGTTGTTTGGAACGAACCATCCCAAATGGGAGCCCCTCACGGTACTCAAACCGACGACCGCCGCAGATGAGTGGAACAACAACGGGGACAACAAAGGGGGTAATCAGGGGGGAAACCACGGGAACGTCGAGCAATACAAAAAGAACGATGAAATCGACAACGACGAGGATGATTCCTATCTTGTCTACAAGGGTTATTGCTTGGGCGAGGGCTGTTACACCATGAAAGAAGCCAGAAGGCTACTGGGAGAAACGGGGGACAAAAATTCAAGGTACAACAAAGAGAACAGCGGCTGGAGATCCAGAATGACCAAATCGACCCGTTTTAAAAAGAAGAACCCGAAGCGACCAGGGAAGCGCCGCACCAGGACGAATCCGGAAACCGGTTCCGTGGTCACCAATGCGGCCTCGTTGTCTTCTCTGAGGTCTTCGTCGTCGTCGAGTATAGTAACCACGAGCAGTGCCAGCACTAGACACAGCATCATTAGCGGAATGTCGGGCCTTTCTGGATTTTCGGGGATGAGCGGCAGTGTGAAGAGCACCAGGCGCAGCGGCCGATCACGTCGATCAACACAAAGGTCAAGCAGTAGATCTTCCTCCGATGACGACGACGACGAACACAACCGCAAGGAGTTCTCCTCGGAGAAAAATGCTGTCTCTCACATTGTCGTTGAACGGTTGGAGAAGTTGGTTTCCTACGATTATTTTACTGTGTTGGACCTCAGCAACATCGATATGAGCAATTCGTCCAAAAGTACCAAAAACGAGAGCAATGCAAACCTCGATGCTCTCGTCAAAGCAATCGGAATCGCAAAAACACTCAAGGCGGTTGTTTTGGAAAAATGCGGACTCGGAGACGAGGGCCTCGAGAAACTTGCTGGTGGACTCGAGCAACAAATCGTGACGACGTCGTTGCACAAAAGCAAGAGTGCCGATGCCGGCGACGTGCTGCTTCCGAGCATCCTGCGGTTGCGGGGAAACCGCATCGGAAACAGGGGTGTCCAGGCACTTGAATTTTTGTTCCGCTCCTCGTCGACCCTGAAGGAAGTGGACCTGAGCGACAATCACATCGGGAGCAAGGGTGCCTGCTCGTTGTTCGAATCCCTCGCGCAAAATCCAAACGGAATCCCCCTGTCAGTGCTCAACCTTTCCCAAAACGAGATCTGGGAGCTCTCGTCCCCCATGGAGAACAACAATGCGTCTACTTTTTTGTACACCAACTCGACACTGAAGGAACTCAACCTGGATGGGAATTTGTTGCACGACGGGGGTGCCGAATTCATTGCCCAATCCATACGATCAAATCGCAGATGCGCTCTCAAGAGACTCCATCTGGGCTGGAATGCAATCGGTGACGACGGCGTCCGGGCACTGGGCAAAGCTCTCGAATCGAATACGAGTCTCGAGGTCCTTGGACTGGCAGAAAACGATATCACAAACACCGGGGCAAGGGCCCTGCTAGCGGCATTAGCTGTCAACACAAGCGTCAAAGAAATTAGCGGCCTCTATCACAACCCCATCGAGCGCAAATTCATCATCGTGGCCATCAAACGATTGTTGCACCGAAAGAGCAGCGTCAGGGGGGACAAGAACAATACCGATCCCGCCAGATCATTGGCAAATTCTGAACACTCTGCGGCGGCCGCAGCTTCGACCAGAACGGGGGCTACGACGGCAGCCGACAACGAAGATTACGAGGACAGCGAAGAAATGATTGTTCCACTCAAGCCAGCCGCGTCCAACAAAGCTGTTGTCGTCGTTGACGATGGTTTTTCCCGTTTGCAACGGTCATACGAAGAGACCGCCAGATCATCCCAGGGTGGAGACCATCACACACATGCGAGCACCGCATCGCATTCCGGTGGCAGTCTAGCATTGGAGGCGATCGAAAACTGGGACTGGGGTACGTTTGGAATCGAGGAAATCGAACGCAAAATATCGGGGGATCTAGATGACAATATCGAAGTCCAGGTGGACGGTTATACCGATCCGTCATCGGCAAAGGATTCCGCTCTGAGTAACTCAAATACAAAGAGAGGACTTTCGGCCGACACCAAAAAGTTGGTTGATCGAATGTTCGTATTCCAATCTGCTCCTCTAGCATACTTTGACCGGAAAAAAATGCAACACGTTGGAGTTCCTCTCCTGGACTTTGATCTCGAAGCACGAAGCCTCAGGGACGTTTTGCCCGAGGACAAGAACATCGATGTCGTGTTCCAAAATGCCACCCAGAACAATTTCAAGCTGTATTTCTCCAAGTCCTTGAGTCCGGTGATGCATTTCTCGTGCCATGGAAATGATTCCGATTGTCTCATACTCGAAAACGGATTCGGATATATGCAAGCCCTGCCGCTGGACTCTCTGAAGAAAATGGTCGCCGCCAGCAAGATAAAGCTGGTGGTGGTTTCTTCCTGCAATTCTCGTCATCTTGGCGAAGTCTTTTTGAACGCAGGCGTACCCCACGTGGTGGCGTTGCAGCGAGAAACCACATACTCTGACGAAGGGCCTATCGATTTCGCCAGGGCGTTTTACGGGGCGCTCGGGCAGAGAAAAACGCTTCGAGAGGCTTTCGACATTGGAATCAACGAGTGCAAAAAATTTTCCAAACCGCCCCGGCTTTTGGACGCTTATAAATTGCTTCCCGAGCATTGTTCGAACCACGACGTGGAAATTTTTTTCCAACAATCTCCACCACCGATAACTGAATCTGTTTTGGCAAAAGACCTGTCCGAAGATACGAGCATTTTACCAGAGGTCCCGAAACAATTCGTGGGAAGAGAGGTTGATCTTTACGAAATTCTTGAATCCCTGAGGGTAGATGATGTGGTTCGAGTCGGAGGAGCCCCGGGATCGGGAAAGAAGAGTATTCTGGCTGTATTGAGTCGCTATATTTTAGAGCGATCCCGTTCGTTGGAGATTGATTCCGTTTATTGGTTTCCTACCCCTCCCGGTGTCACACCGGACCCAGACTCTCTATATGGAGATTTATGCAATGTTATGAAATGGATTGTTGAAGCCGAAGATGATGTTTGGGACGAGGAAGACTACGCTGAAAGTCGGGAACGCATTGTTATCGAGATGGAGGGAAAAAACAGCATTCTCGTCATCGATGGTCGTATCTTTGCAAACGAAATAGCAGGCGAAATGCTCGAACGATTCCTCACCCACATTCTGAACGAGGTCAACGTGAAAATTCTATTGATCACGGCCACCGACGAGTCCCGAGTCAAATCGAAGCGATCGAAATCGGAAGAAGCTACCATTCATCTGGGTCCACTCGATTACACATCAACGGTCCGAGTTTTTGGCTCTGCGTGCCCGCTTCTATCTTTGAATGAAAAGGATTGCAGTTGCACCGTTGATACCGTTGAAGAATTTGAGAGTTGTTTGCTACCTAACTCAAAAGCTGCTGGACCGACCGTCTTCGTGGATCCAAAGCAAGACGTAGTTCGATCTCCGCACCAGAGCGAGCTTTACAATTTAATGGGCAGCGGCAATCCCCGAGATATTGCGAGAAAAGCCGCTTCATGCCAACAGGAGGATCTATATAGATTGCTGCGATTGGCGCAGAGGCCAGTGGTTTCCGTAGCGTCCTCGACAGAGCTCGAACGACAAGTTGCCAAGTGGATGGCACGAAAGGAACAGGCTGTGCAAAACCACTATTATCTCCGTGCCAGCGACATTGACAAAACATTGCAGGAATTGGAAGATCTCAGAAAAACATATCCTAGTTTGACAGACATGAAAACGAAAGAGAGAGATCTCAAGGAAAAGTTTAGAGCTCTGTTGAAAGCAAAGCGCTACGACGAAGCAAACTCTGTCAAGCGGCAACTTTTAACCCTGAAGCGCTCCATGGTAAAGGAGCAGTCTTCCTCCAGTTCAATAAGTTCCCAATCAACGGCTGCCCAGGAGTCCATTCTAGAAATCCAAGAACGGATGAAGACCATGATAGCACTTGCCGAAACGCTTGGGCAGTCTATGTCAAGCGTTGGGAGTCCTACTAGCCACTTGGTTCAGGAGTCGCCCCCGGCCGAGGCCGAGTTTTGCTTATCAGACACTTGCACACTCAAGATATCACCTGGTTGTTTGTGGACAGATTTTCCATGTTCGAAAACCGGGGGCACTAGCGGAAAAGATAATTCCACTGTTTCTGCTATGATTGTTTTTACCAATGAGGCATGCGACCTTACGAGCAACAGCAAGGCCATATCGGAATCGGGCGACACTGATCGTAAATTGAAACTCTCCGAGAAAATTCATGATCTCGAAACACTGACCGAAACGCAATGGGGGACCGTAAAGTGCGCAACAGGGGAATCTGTGGCACTTGACGACATTGGCGCCGGTGGCAATCGCAATCTCTGCATCGTCTTAGCAGTCCCTCCTCTCGTCACCAATGTTAACGAGGATGCGAAGGATTTTGACAGCGACCAACACTACGTAGCAACACAGCTTAGGAGTGCCATTCGATCTTCGTTTCGAACGGTTCGAAGAACCAACAACAAGGTGACAGCCATTGGTATTTCTACCAGCCCATCGTTGTCATTGAATGGGAAAGGGAATCGCTATCGCACCAACGACGAATTAGATTCAGATGAAAACACAAGTTCCTTCGTCACCCTGAAAGCAATCGTCGATGAAATCTGTCGTGGTGGTGGCGGCAAAAACAACGAATGCCTTCGGACGGTCCACTTGTTTCCCTCCACAGGCATCGTAGAATCCAAGATGCTGATTCGGACTGCTTTCGAAATGGGATTAAAATGCAGATAGCAAAGCGATACGAGTGGTTACCGCACGGGAGTTTGAGTTTCTGTTTCTATCTTGCGGGATGAACAACGAGAACGACAGCAACAAGTCACTAAAGATAATCACTGCTACTAATTATTTTTCTACCGGAGTAAAAATGTTTGAAAAGTCGTAGCCGCACCGAGCACTATTGTTCTGAACCAAAAACTTCAGATCCGATGGGAGGCATTGCTTTGCGGGTTCGATGTGATAGCACAGGTCTTTCATGCGATCTGTACACAAAAAGTTTTACCCATTCCTCAAGTATTAAGTACATTATTTAAATTTCCCATTAGTTTTTAAATTTTAAATAGGCTGAGTCATTTTCAATCTGCTATGAAGGGCAATATTCGCATCGAATTGCAGCAATGCGACATTTCTATCGTATATATTCACAATTTTAATAATTACTTTCGTAGTAGGATATATTTATTGATTTGCACATGAAAAATTGTTTTCGGTTGGAACCGTAGAGTTGTCTTTTGAGACATGCACATTATTCTTCGAACAATAGTGCGTCGTTTGAAAAATTCTCATTTATTGTTACAATTCTGACGAACAAAGACATGGATCGCAATAACTTATACAAGATTGCTTGTTAAATACATCCACACAAACAAATCACTATCATAAAATTCTAAAAAAGTTGTCATAGACCTCCCCATTGCACTGCAACTTCAAAGAGAGAATTTCATTTAATGTTAATTCTACTTTGACATATTTCACCGATAAGCTAGAAATCCTTTACATCGTTGATTGTTATATCCGCAAGGTAAGCACATGCCACTTTTTTCGACTTCCGAACTTGGGTTGTAGATTATTTTTCACTGTATCGCATAGATTTCACCACGATACTATTTATACTTCGTACCGAGACAACGATACACTCAAAGCACAAGAAATTTGTCTCCGTTGTTGTTTCGGTACCTGCAAGCTAATTGAACGCTGGAGGAGAAATATTGCACAAAAGGAACCATGCCTACAAAATCTGAAGATCCTGAAGATGTATCCAGTAGCGCATGCAACATCAATTATGGGAATGAGTTCTTGTCAACGAACAACGATCCAGAAACGATAGACATTTTGTTTTCGGAGGAACTTCTCAAGCTCTCTATTGAGGCTCGAAATGAAATCCAAGAGGAAGCACACGGGGTTCGGTGCCTTGCACCAGAAGAAACGCCTGAAATGATTCGTGATGCCCTGCGCAAATTTTCCAACGAGCTCGATAAACTACCTCGCCACACCATGCGTGCCTATCATATAAGTCAGAAACCAACACAACGATCACCTCCGCAGAGGACATTTGTGAACACAGATGATTTTCGTCTTCGCTTTTTGCGAGCCCAACTGTTTGATGTTCCAAAAGCGGCAAGATGCATGGCAAATTATTTAAAAGTCATCCTGGATCATGTTGGAGAATATGCTCTATTTCGACCCATCAGGTTGAACGACTTTACGAAAGAGGAACAGCGGGTCTTTCGGAAAGGTTTGGCACAACTGCTGCCATACCGGGATCGCCATGGTCGTCGAGTCCTCGTTGTCTTCATGGGTGAAGACTGGGAAGAAGTATCGGTGACATTGAAGGTAAGTATACAACGAAGGACGAAACCGATCGTTCTCAAAAACACATATCGAAAATCATACTTTCATAGCACTCCTCACTTGTCTATCATTCAATGACACCTAATCAATCAATATGTGGTTCTCTTATGTACATCTTAGTTAAAAATAATGCTGTACAACACTTTCAACCTCGGCACCGAGGATTTGGAACTGCAACGGAAAGGACTTGTGGTTGTGTTTTGGTGTCAAGAGTCTTTAACATTCCAGTTGAAAACCAATTCCAACAACACAATTGCACGTATAGACGAATGTTCTCCGATACGAGTCAGCGCTATTCATATATGCACACCCGACACGCCTTTTTATCGGTTTGCACGAGGCGTTTGGGCAATGGTTATAGGCCGCGCCTATTTCGCACTAATGAGATTTCACGTTGGTAAGTCTGCGTTCAATTGCTTTGTAGTTTGGCAGGTGATCGTGTTCTGATTGCGAATCACATTTTACATCTTTACCAACGGCATGTTCTTTTTGGCGTTTCGTTCTATTCAATCTCATCTTTCTTCAATTTACAGGCGAACCGATCGAGCTAAGATACGCCTTGGAATCTCTTGGCATTAGTACGGGTCAGTTGCCGATTACTTGGACTGGTAAAATAAAAGAACAACACATCAGACAATATATGCGAATGCGAAGACAATTAGAAGAGCACAGCAGTAGCGGGGAAAACGATAATTCGACACCAATCATAGAATGCCCAAATTTGAGCGACATTGTATTCCGGCAGGGAACGTCTGCCATGTATCACCCGGGAAATGTAATTTTTCGCAGCAGAATCCAGCACTTGTTCGAAGAGGCAAAACCCTTTACAATGGACCAATCTACTAGAACTCTGGTCACAAAACTGATGGAAGAAATTCGAGAGAACAACGGAAGGATCTTGATCTGGTCCCAACTTAAAACCGGTACAAGCGTTAGTTTCGGCGATTGTTGGTGGACGGAGCTTAGAGACCAATCACAAATCTATACCAAGATTGAAAACCTTGTACGAGAATTCAAGTATTCGAAGCAGAAGTACCAGTCGATCAATCGTGGAAATGGCAGTAGTGTAAGAACTGTTCAGAATGCTGAGAGTGACAAGTCGCTCTTTCTCCAACCCTGTCATGACGGCTTTACAGGCTGGTGCAGTACAAGAGGAAAGAAACGTGCCCATGACAACACCTTTGAAGACGATCAGTGTTGTAGTAGAAATTTATGCAATCGCCGCTAACATATCCTTGTCTGCAATGCGCCATCAGAAATTAAAATCTTGGAAAAGGTGTTGCGACGACGTGTCTGCCAAGTTGTCAAACTAACAGTCCTCGCGAGTTGGACAATTGAAAAACAAAGTTTAGCTTTCCAAACAAAGGCTGTCGTAATTGTAGATGCTAGATTCGATAGCAATTTTCATGAGCCGTATCTTTTTTCACACGACTGGTAAGTTCTTTTTGATCCATTCGACTACAGTACTTACGGTAGGAGACAAAATCAACCAGTTCTCGGTTCTCGCTGATTGATCGTACCTACGGGCGTACGATACGAAGGTACTGTAGGTCTGTCATGTCTACATAGAACATAGAGCTGATACGGGTGTGAGGCAGTACAGACACCACATCACGAGTAGCTAGTGAATAACCTCACTCTTTATTGTAAACAGCCCGCATGATTCGATTGTCTTAACTTACATCCAAACTCGTAGTACGTAACTAAGTACTTACGTAGTACGAAGTACATCCAATTTTTGCTCGGTCGAGCAAGACCCTAAGTAAATGAAAAAATGAGGTATTTAAATAGGCTCAACGGACAAAAATGAATGTGGTACTTTGGTACTCCGCGCCGAGGATTTTCTTTTAGGACCGCACGTGCCACCAAAATCAGAGGATGGGGTGTTACTTTTCGTAGTACGGTACCACTCGTACGAAGTACTTCGTAAAAGAAGTACTCGTACTACGTAATTTTGATGCCGCATCGTAGGGAGGATGACCGAAATCTGGCGCCAAACATTCTCTCATGTCATCGTAATGTCATCGAAGACTCTCAGACGGAATATACGGTTCGCACCTTTGAATCACCGTAGGTACAACCGAAGAGACTTTTGGAATGCTACAGACAGATATCTTTCTTTGTTATTCGACGAAGTGACAACCTGAGATTGGCATTTTGAATTTTGAAATCTGATACAAGTCTATGCAGTCGTGTTGTTTCGCCGATAGACAATCAAAACATAGAAACGAGCAAGACCTTCTATGACTACTAAAAAAATTCAAATGTGCCTCCCTTTCATTCCGTCTGATCGTTTATACGTATACGAATAATAGAATATGTTCTAAATCATTTTCTACTGCCAAAATTGAATCCGATTGAATCCGATTAAATCGACGTTGAACCATGTACTGTCGTTTTGTAAAGTTGGAAGGTCACTTTTTTCAAGTGAAAACTGCCTTTTGAAGGTTCTTTAGGTTCTTTAACTCCTTCCCATTCTAATTTAGAACATTCAACTGATCTAAGAAAGAGAGAGTAGCTGAGGAGATACTAGTCTCCGTTTTTGTTCCGTTGATGTTTTGTGGCCGATTCGATTCACACGAGAACCTCGGACAGAGTCAACTGAATTCCTGCGAAGCGAGTAGGGAACAAAGAATCGGGAGTGTGTACTGCATTCAATCATTTTTGTACAATTCTAGTATTGACCATTCCTATCGTATGGTTGGTCCTCCAAAAAGGAAATTAGTTTGAAGTAAATAGAGGGTTTAAAGCCCTGAGCTTGTTGTTTGAAAGCTGACCTGAGTTGTTTAAGTGCTGGGTGCGAAGAACGCTAAGAACGCAATGTTTCAAATTGATCTGTCCTTGCTAGCGGCATTTTCATTGTCGTCCTCGACGACACCTGAACCAGCCCCACAAACTTTTCAATCAATCACCAAGAATTTTGACTTCGAGGAAGGCAAACGCAAAAAGAATACAAACATGATTCCTTGCTCCACGGTACAAACGCATTCTAGCATGATGACAGACGATCTCACAAGAAGTACGACTACGAGTTCATCGCTATCATCGTCTTCTGCGGGTAGAGTCTTGCATTCGCCCTTGCAACAACTGCGGCGGTCTGGTCCTATTGATGGAAGCAAACATTTACATCATCCTTCAAATTCACCGAGCATCATCCGCAGGACGACCGAAAAGAAAACCAATACCGGCGGAAAACACAAGAACAAAAGTAAGAAAAAGGGACAGAGTCTCTTTCAAAGCAAGAAACCATCATCGTTATCCTCATCACCGACGAAGAACCATCGCCATCCCTTACTAGAAGAGGTTGCAAATACGCGTGCCTACCCAAGTAAACCTCGCGAACGCAAAAGCAAGCACGAGACCAACCCATCACCACCGCCCTCGTCCTTGTCCTCCTCCATGGAAAGCCTCTTGAAACGAATTCGACGTTGTTCTCTACGAAGGAAAAAAAATTGCATCGAAATCGTAAGTCTCCTTGGCCTCTCGAACGACATTCCGTACGGATTCAATGATAACAACGATAACAACACGAGAAGCTCTAACAGCTGCTATTCAGAAGAAAAAGAAGAGTTAAAATTCTGGGCAGCATGTCCGCCCCCGTCCACAACTAACACTTGTCCCAAAATGGCGGTCGACAATGGTGGCTTCAGTGATTTGATGATTTTTGTCAACAACGAACATTGTGTCCTCGAATATACTCAGGACGAATTTGAGAGCTTCGATTGAAGGACGCACATTGCGTGATGCGACAATCGAAGAAACAAACAAACAGAATGTGCTTTATCAGGGGTGATAGAGCATAGACCAGCAAGTACCAAAATCAGACTCATTCCAATGGTGGGGCATTGTGGCTCGACCAAGTCAATAATTCGCATCATCGCATCCAGGCATGTAAGGTCTATTAGAGCCCGTTCTAGAAAGGACTGCTTGACTTGACTTGAACTGACAGAATCGAAACTTTCCAGCAGAAAGGTGCGACCGAGAAGGTGAGTATTCGATACATCGCAGGTTGGCGTGGTCAATTTACACCATGCGATGGCAGGTGTGATACAAACCATGCCATTGCGTTAGCTACCATCTCGGTGACCAACCGAAGCGCAAACATTGGAAGCAACAATTCTCCAATCGTGAGGAGATTTTCTGTCCTCACGGGAAGTCATAAGGACGCTTCCATTTCCTTTATATTGTGTTGCTGCAGTCTGCGATATTTGTTGTTAGAAACATATATGTATTCTTAGTAGTATTCTTTTATTTCGAAATTGATATAAATCGAAAATGAACGAGAAGATGGATATCATAGACATCTCTTCCATATTCTACAATGGATTGGGCTACATTCCATTCGCCCTATAGAGGGCGTCTTTTCGTGCTGAAGTGAGACCAGAGCATCTGTGTCGAACAAACAACGATGCCTATTGGTCGAAAGAAAGTACTAGCTAGAAGCACTTGCTGATTACTAAGAGCATGGTCGCACCACAGAATTCTTTGCATCTCAGTAAAACTGGTGCCACATGATTTCATTTTTTGCTTTCCCTACCATAGAAATGTTGCCATGGATAGAGAGAGAATTTTACTGCATTTCTCTCAAAAGTATTGCTGTGTTATTGGCAATACAGGTATCCCTTCTTCTATTTTCTTAGGATAAAGATAAGTAGCAGCTTATCTACTTGCTATTGTAGTTTGCAAGCAATATTGGGCCATTCCTGTTAATATAGAAGTGCTACTTTTGGGGTAAACACATATATTTCATTACTATTTTTGAGTCAGGTCAAATTAGTGGTATCAAAAGTAGAAAGTTCATGATGGAACTCATGAATGAGTCAGTTGAAAGACTCAACACAAAGAAGGCCTGTATGTGTCCCCTTTTTTTGTGTTTAGGTTGAACTATAGTTAAGGCTCTGAAGTTAAGATTTGAAATTCCCAAAAAACTGATGAAATTTTGATTCCCATCATTACAAAAGTAATAAATGTTGTGAAGCTATGGGTTTAGCAATTCTATAGTAGTAATAACGGAAATGGCCTGTTATTTCCCATAGTCATTAATTTTGGGAGAAGAAATAACAGAGGAGAGTGATCCTACCATCAAAAAGAACAAGGAAAGGTACTGGTGCTGCTGTGATCCTGACAAAAACGGAATCAGAACAAACAAGGTAGCACCAGTAGTAGTACTATTACTTCTTGTTCTTGTATTAGCTAGTATAGTAGTAGCAATAGTAGTAGCACCAATAGTAGCATTCATAGCAAACAAAATGAAAAGTACAACTAGTTGATATAGTGAAGTATTAATCTTTGGTGGGAAGGAGGAAATAGTACAAGGAGATGATCCAGAGTAGTAGTGGTGAATTCAGTTGCTGCTTCTTGTTTGATCAACAAAAACCTGAGAATAGTGGTTCTACTAGAATTAAGGCAAAAGGTTTTACTTTGAGGAATAATGATACCAAATGACAAATCCAAGACCAGGACTTGTATTTTGATGAATTTGATACTTCTTATTTTTTTAAATGGAGGAATGAGTAATGACGGGATAAATGTTTAAATCATGATACAATGAGACACATACCATTACCATTAAGTTTAGTATCAGGGATTACCTAGCAGGGCATAATAAGAGCAAAATGTATGGTTCTTCTGGGAAACAATACATATCATATAGAGTTGGCCAGCTAATATACAGTCCCAGTTGTAGATTACAGGCTATCTAATTACCATGTAAAGACTCGTGGGATTAAAAATTGGCTTGTACTGTAGTGCTGTACAGCAGGCACGTGCTGAATTTTTGAATCCCACATTCATGTGACCAAATAGTTGCAAAATAGTTTTTTGCTTTTATGTGCATGCTGTAGGCCTAGTACAAGTCAAATTTTTAATCCCAAGAGTCATTACACAGTAAAAAGATAGCCCAAAATCCACGCACAGCACAAAAAACATGTGGGGCATCAAGAGAGGTTCAACTCACTCAAACAGCCATAAAATTTTCCCCAACAGACGCTTAAGTATGATGAGAGCATAGTTAAAAAGAGAATTCAAAGAGCTTTCTAATGCTGTGGGGGAGTATGACGTACAGCAAATATTGACCAATATACATGTACGTATATCTTGAATTGCTAATGTACAGTTACAACTGTCTTTTTTTGCTTGGCCCATGCTATACAACACCCCATGAGGTATCCTGCCCTTGGCCATAAGAATAGCAGCACTGCCAATAAGGTTGCTACTACCTATCTAGTAAAACTTTTCATTTTCTAAATGTAAGTTGTGCATTTATCTACTACTGTCATAACTAGAATTAATTCCAGTTTTAATACCAGCACTAGGAGTTGTTGATTCTTGCTTTTGTGTAATCAGATGTTTGACAAACAAGTTGAAGATATTTCTTCACCAATCAATGAAGATTTTAATCAATGTCAGGTTAGAAATACCTGAGAGTTGTTGAGATATTCTTGTTGCATGATTGTATTGTTACAGGAGGAATGTTGTTATACAACAGTCCAAGGTGATGGTTGTAATGGAATGGAATTATACAACAGCCCAAAGTGATGGTTATAAGAATCTGGCTGGTATTGAACTTACATTTTTGCTGCAATAGAAATGTATGGAATAAATGAATGTTGCTGATTAAATAATGTATATGATACTAAATGTTTGAAACAGTCCAGAGTGACAATGGTTGTAATAATCTGGCTATGTACTAGCTTACCTTTTTGCTTCAATTGAAATGTGGAGCTACATATCTGACCTTTTTGCTTCTGTAGAAATGTGTAAAATTAATGAATGTTGTTAATGAGATAATGTATGTAAAATGTAATGGATGTTTGTCCTCACATACATTTGCTGATTTGAAATTCTTAACTTCACTCCAAATTAAAGTTCTGTTTCAAAATACATGATATTATCACAAAATTCTACAGAGTTGTCATTGACCTTGTGACTTTTTTGAAAGAATGAGAGGGAAGAACAGGGCTAAGATGGTGTAAAGCCAAAAATCACCCTAGTATGTTGGTATCTACTAGATTTGAAATGTATACTTGACAACTTCAAAATCATGAATTGCTGCCAATGTTCCCACCACAATTTTGTGTCCATAACAGCTTCTATTTTTCCTTTTTCTTGCTGTAGTACCAATTTGAGTATGGGGGTGAAAATATTGCATCACCAAGAATTTAACAATTTCTCCTGCTGTATGCTATTCTTATGTTCTTTTCCAAACAGGAGCTCTACTAGTAGTACCAAATTCATGGTGATATCAGAGCTTGCTATATTTCATATAAATTGGACAAACCAAACTCATTGATACAACACAATTTTGATGATTCACCACAAATCAATGTATGAATTCACATTATGGTTTGAGGGGTTCCATAGAAATACTTGTAGTAATAGTGCTCATGATCTTGTTTGGTTCCAGATATCACCACTAGCATCTGCTGGCACATTACTCAGCACACTAGTATTATGAGAAGCATATTTTGACTAGTTGTAGCATCTATCACACATTAATAACTTCAAAAAATCTAATGTTTAGATTTTTGTCATGTACAGTACTTTTCTGTTCTTGTTTGCACTACTACCACTTTGCTACACCTTTCAGAACATTTTGATACTAGTACAGTGACACCATTAAGAAAACTTTAACTTCAAGTTGTTATTATTTGAAATGCATAGTATCTCAAAACAAAACCACTACGGTTGCAACAACATGGTCAGTCTTCAATCACAAATCCAGCCATTCAATCACAAACTTGCTGACCAATCAGTCTGGCTGCCCATTCTATCATGAACTTGGCCATTCAGCAGCCCAGTATTGTTCAATTGTTGGAGCTCATAAATCTCTAGTAGTATCTCTTCTTGTGCCAAAAAAACTCTGGCACCAGTGGTGCCCAATTTCATGCAAACCATATCAGAATAGTAATTGAACACCACAATAATACTTAAATTGATGCTTCTCATGAGAATTGATAAATATTCTTACTAGCCACCAGCCAAAATTAATTATAAAAGAATGGAATCTGATGCACCTAAAAAAGGGTGTTGAAATCCAAGAGAAAGGTTCTCCTTTCTTACTGGACTCGTTGAGAGATTGAAAAACACTTAACAGTCGCTACTACAAATACTAGTAGTACTGCTACTTCTAGTCTAATAATTCTTCTGCTTCTTCTTCTGGTGCTGCTGGTGACAATGAGGATATGCTGGTGGTGGTGGTGCTAGTAGTAGTACTAGTAGTAGTACCACCACCACTACTAGTAGCTAGAACTACTAGTAGTACTATAACAGCAATACCAGTACAAAATTGCAAAAAATACCACTATTACCAGCTAGTAGCAGTGCACTTGCAGTATTTCACATGAATTGTAACAGTGGCCTTCTGTCACTAGTAGCACCAGTCAATTCTTAGTAGTAAAGTACTGCACTGTACTACAACAAAGACTGGCATTCCTCCCCAGTCTTTGGTTGATACTTTTTCTACGTAGCAAAATGATTCGATGCCCCCCAAAGGTTCGGTTGGTGCCGAATGCGAGAAGGAGAGTTCCAGCGGTGGATCTCATCTAACGTTCTGCTAACGCTCAAAACCCCAACAGAACGTTGATAAAATACGATGATAAAAATATTGTTGTGTGCGTCGAGGTACCGTCCCGTACGTGCGATACGGTTGTGTCCGTGCGTGCGGAAGATATCTGCCTCCTACAGAAGCTCTGTACCGTACCTTATCGTACTCTATGGTTGACTTAGTTCTACAGTAATGTTTTTTCGGCGAATGCCTACGATACGGGTACCTGCCTTACAACGGTACGTACGGTACTGTACTACTGTTCTCGTCTAGTTCATTTGTTTGTAAAGACAATTTAGGGACATGACATTCATTTGAAATCGGCATTACTAGATTTTAATGACCGCCGAAAAAGAAATAGGTACCGGCTGGCTCGGTCACGTGATAAAAACGAAGGCGTAGAAAGCACAAAAAATGAAGGTTCGCAGGAGATTGAGTGAGGGACCTGCTGTGCTGTCCGAGTGCTCGTATGGTAAGTACGGTACGGTACCGTTGCAAACTACAAAAACACGCCACCCCGCCCGCCCCCCAAAAACACATCTCGAGGAACACAAGGGAAGAAAGACAAATACCATTTCGCCGGCGTTTTGCTGCGTCGTTTGTCTTTTTTCGACAGAGTAGCGAATAGTAAGTATAGTACAGATTCTACGGGAAAGGATTGAACCTTGCAAACACGCGGATCCAAAGCCCCCCCCCCCTTCCTGGAATCGTCCAGCGACACTCACTCTTGGCGTATCGCACCTTTTCTGCAACACCGCAGTACGGGTACCCCATCCTGCATCACTGGAGTTTGCAAACATCGAACCGGTGCACCTCGACGAAGACCTCGCACGGTACTGAATTGTTTGCTGTGCTCTGGGATCCGCAAAGGCAACAAACAACAAACAACAAACAACAAGGCCCTTTTTGTGGAAGAGAAGAGAAGAGAAGAGAAGAGAACCATTGACAAGGTCGCAAAACGTGCTACAAAACGTGCTACGGAACGCGAGGAAGGGACCGGTCCGTTCTAGAAGCAAAAGCAAACCGTTACGGAAACCAAGCCTTTCCTGTGGTGCAAAACAACGCGACGCAAAACGACGCAACGAATGCGAAGAGGTCCGGGTCCAAAGGCAGGCACCCACCCGCAGTAGAAAGAGAACGCACCGCACCGCAACGTACACAGCACACGCAACGCAACGCACCGCACCGCACGCAACTTAACGCTTAGCGCACAAAAAACAATTGCCTGCCCCGATTCACGGTCTTCCACTTTGCAGACTTATTCTTCCACGGCACTCCACACCATGCCGGAATCGCAGGGCACTCCCGTGCTGACCGGGGAGCAGCTCGAAGAATACTGCCTCCAGAACGGCATCTGCCCGCTGTGCGCCCAGACCAAGACGCACGAGAAGGTGGGCCCCTTCCGGCTCAAGCTGGCGGGGAGCGGCTCGAAGAAGAACAAGAACGCCGGGGGAGGCAGCGGCGCCCAGGCCTGGAAGCCCATCTCCCTGACCATGGAGGACGCCATCCAGCAGCAACAGCAGCAGGACAAGGGCAGGGGAAGGGCCAGGGAAAACACCGAGGCCGAGGGCAAGAAGGGCGGCCGCAAGGGCCTGGGAGGACTCTTTGGAAAGGCCAAGCAAAACGGAAGCGGAAACGGAGACAAGGCCTCGGATTCCGAAGACTCCGAGCCACACCAGAGCGAAAACCACTGGCTGGTTTACAGAGGCTTTTGCCTCCGGCCGGGCTGCTTTACGCTGGAGCAGGCGAAACGCCTCATCGGCGAGGTCGGTCCCTTCGAGACGCCCATTCCGAGCGGCGACTACGGATACTACCTGTTTGTCAACCAGCACGCCAGCTGGGACGCCACCAAAACGAAAACGAACGGGGGCACCACCAAGAAGCTGGGCATCGGCAGGKCCGTCAAGAACAAGAACARGAACAAAAAGAACAACGAAGACGCAGACGAACAAGAGAACGGAGGCACCACCAAGAAGCTGGGCATCGGCAGGTCCGTCAAGAACAAGAACAAGACCTGGAACAAAAAGAACAAGAACAAGGACAAGGACGGCACGGATCCCGAGCAGCACCTCGATGCGGAGCAAGGCGAAGAACACAACCAGCACGAAGACGAACAAGCCGAAGAACACAACGAACACCAAGACGAGCTCGGCACCGAGAACGGGGGCGGAGACACCGGGGAACCCCGGGCCTCCAAGAAAAAAGGCGGCATGTCCCGCCTCTTCGGGGGGAACAAGAACAACCCCAAGCCCAAGGACCTCTCCGGCTTTGATCCCTCCATGACGGGCTTTTCCGCGTCGAAGAAACCGGGGGCGTCCTCCTCCCTCAAGGGTGGCCGCCGCGGGGACGCAAACAGGGCCGGAGACGGGCCGCCCCTGCGGTCCATCTCGACACCGACGACGGCCTCGGTCAACGACGACTACAGCGTCGGGGGCTCCGTCCTGTCCGGGGGCAGCGGCCGCCACCGCAAGAACCTGACGGGGAAGATCCGCCGGCGGGGGTTGGGCGGCGGCGACGACGACGACTTTGACGACGACGTCTCGATCGGATCGGCCATGACCAGCGAGTCCCGGGTCCGGACGTCCCTCAAGGAACTCCTCTTCGAGCAGCAGCAACAGCAGCAACAGCAACAGCCAACGAACCCGATGCTTGCCGCCTCGGGGGCGTCGACCACCGGAAGCCTCCTGCTGGACCTGAGCCACACGCGGCTCCACCACGTCCACGTCCTGGAACTGGTCCAGGCCCTCGACGTCGCCACGTCCCTCCAGACCCTCATCCTCGAGAACTGCAAGCTCAACGACAACGAACTCGAGGTCATCGGGAAGGGACTCCTCGGGATAAGCGGGACCCGGCCGCCCCTCTCGCTGGTCCGGCTCTCTTTGCGGTCCAACAAGATCTCCAACCGCGGGGTCGTGGGGTTGTGCCCCTACTTTATGGCCACCTCCACGCTCCGGGAGCTGGACCTGTCGAAGAACCAGATCGGCAGCCGCGGGGCCTCGTCGGTCCTGCACGCCTTTCGGGACAACCCCAGTGCCCCCCACAACAGCGGGGAAACCCTCAACACCCACCGCGGCAGCAGCGGCAGCGGCAGCGACGAGGCCCAGAAGCTACCGATCGAGATGATCAACTTTGCCCACAACGAAATCTGGGACGTGGACGACGGCAGCTTTTTCTCGCAGAACACCACCCTCAAGCTCTTCAACCTGGAGGGGAATTTCGTCCACGACGAGGGCGTCCAGACCATCGCCGACGGGCTGCAGGCCAACCCGGGGGGGACCAAGCTCGAGGAGCTCTACCTGGGCTGGAACGGGATCGGCGACGAGGGGTGCCTGCACCTCGCGCGGATGATCGAAACGAACTCCACCGTCACCAAGATGGGGCTGGGAGAGAACGACATCACCAGCATCGGGGCACGCGCCCTCCTCAACGCCCTGGCCCAGAACCAGACCCTGCAGAGGATCACCGGCCTGTACCACAACATGATCGACCGCAAGTTTGTCATCGAGTGCATCAACCGGATCCTCTATTCCCACCTGGAGACGCTTCCGGCCGAGCTCGAACAGGTCCGCCGGGCCGAGTTCGAGCGCCTGAAGCTGGCCTCCATGAGTGCCACCGATACGCTCCTGGAGCCCCTCGGTTCGCACCTGCCCATCCCGGACGAGATTTCGGAAGGGGAGCTGGACTGGGCCGATCGCCTCTACAACGACGAAACCGATCTGGTGGAAAGCGGGGTGACCATCGGAGAGGTCCCGAGGGAAGAGACGCCGTCGGCACTGGGGCAAGTAGACACCGAAGAGGGAGACATCGACGAAGCCGCCGAGCCGAAGACCATCGCGATGATGAGCCAGTTCGGCAAGATGCCCGAGCCCAAGTCCCTCCTGGATCGTCTCGTGGTCTTCCAGGCCGCACCGCTGGTCTACCTACACCGGGAAACCGCTTTCCGCCAGGCGATCCCCCTCCACGATTTCGATCAGGAGACCGCCATCATCCAGAACTCTCTGAACGGCTGTTCCAGGCTGGACGCGACCATCGACATGGACGTGCAGCCGGCCACCGCGGAGTCCTTTGCTTCCTTTCTGGCATCCGGCCGCGGCCGCGTGCTGCACTTTACGGGGTATGGCCACCCCAACCACCTCCTTGCCCTGGAAGACGAGGCAGGCTACCTCGACGACACCTTTTCTCTGGACACGCTGCCCGACCTGATCAAGTCCGCCAATCCCCCCCTCGACCTGGTCGTCGTGAACTCCTTCCACTCCGGAAGGATCGGAAAGGCCTTTCTGGATGCCGGCGTTCCTCACGTCGTGTGCTGCCACCACCCCGAAACCTTCCGCGACAAGGCGGCGAACAGCTTCCTCAAGAACTTTTACCGTGCGCTGGCCACCAACAAGTCCCTCAAGCAGGCCTTTTACCACTCCCAGGAGGCGGTCCGTGTCGAAGAAATTTCCAAGGACGTGGATCGGTACGTCCTGCTGCCCCGCAAGCCCGAGGACGATCCGTACCACGACGTGCCGATTTTCTACACGCAACCGGTTCCCGCCAACACGCTGGACCAGGACACGGACAATCTCCTGCTCGAAGACGGACGAAAGCTCCTGCCGAAGCTGCCGAGGCACTTTACCGGACGGGAGGTCGACATGTGCAAGGTGCTGGATGCCCTCCGCAACCAAAAGCTCGTCAGGATTGGTGGAATCCGGGGGATCGGAAAGAGTTCCCTGGCGGCAGCGGTGTGTCGATACGTCCAGAAACGCTCCGGGTTTTTTGAATTCGACAACGTGTTCTGGCTGCCCGCGGCCCGCGGTGTGGTTCCGGATGAGGACACGCTCTTCGCGGACCTGGTGGAATACACGAGCCTCATGGTGAAGGCCGATCACAACATCTCCGAGGACGAGGATGCGCTGGAATGCCGAGAAAGAATCGAGATCGAGCTGGAAGGCCAGAGCACCCTGCTCGCGATCGATTCTCGAAAGTTCGACAGCGAGGTGTCCGCGGAGTGCCTCGAGACCTTCCTGAGCGAGCTGCTGAACACGGACCTCGAGGTCAAGGTCATCTTGATCAATTCCAACGAGGAGGACGAGGAAGCAACCCTCCGGCTTGCTCCCATCGACTTCAAGTCGACCTCCCTCTTGTTTGGAATGGTGTCGCGCTTTATTACGGCCAACGGCTGTCCGGCCGCGCAATCTCCGGACGAATACGCGGATCTGATCGTTCCCCCGTCGATCGCCATCGGCGAGCCACCAAAGTCGGCGATCTCGGTTCGGCAGGAGCGTCTGCTTTCCGTCATGGGCGACGGGATTCCGTTGCAAGTCATCCGGAGCGCGAAATCGATGCAAGCCAACATCTTTATTCGGTTGATCAGCATGGCGAACACGCCGGAAGTCCATGTGGATTCACTGGATAGTCTCGAAGTATCCATCTCCAAATGGACATCTCGCATGGAACACGCCATCGAGAACAAGAATTTTTTCCGTGCTCTCGATCTCCAGCACGTTCTGAAGGAGCTCGAGGGACAGCGGTCCAAGTTCCCGAGCGTCGACGATCTGGTGGCCAGGGAGAAGGAGCTCCACCGAAAGCACACGCTTTGTTTCAAGACGAGACGGTACGAAGAAGGCAACCGCATCAAGAGGGAAATCCTGGTGCTGAAAAAAGAGATCTTGCGACAAAAGAGGAGGCTGGCCACCAATCGCCACATCACGGACGCGGCTCTCACGCAGTCCCAGACCAACAAAATCGCTGACATCCAGGCGCAGATGAAGTCCATCATGAAGCTCGCAAACTCGTCATTCAGCTCGCTCACGGACCTGCAGGAATCCCCGGACAAGAACGAAGCCGTGTTCCGGCTCGGTTCTGCCTACCACAGCTGCCAGGTCCGGATCTACCCCGGAAACGTGGAAGACTTCGATCCCGGCGACGATCTCGGCGCGTCGATCTGCTGGACGAACGAGTGCTGCGACATCAACCTCGACGAGCAGGGGGCATCGCTGCTGAGCTACGGCGGCCAGAACCTCGCGGACGACGCTGAGACCCTGCCCGCCATTGCGGAAACACCCTGGGGAACCACCAAGTGCGGGACCGGAAACGCCGTGATCGTCGGGCCCGGGAACTACGACGACCTGCGGGTCCACTGCGTGATCCTCGCGGTCGGTCCGATCTCTCCCACCCGCGACGAAGTCCTCGATGAGAGCGACGAGGACTCCCTGCACTACATCACCGTCATGATGCGGTCGTGCCTGCGCTCCAGTTTCATCCTGGCGAAGCATTCTCAGGTGCAATCGATCGCGGTCCCGACGCTCACGACCAAGGTGGGGAGCCCCACGTACGAGTCGACGCTGCTAACGAACCTGAAACTCCTCGTCGACGAGGCCAAATTCTCGGACCTCAACACGCTGCACATTGTTGCGAGATCGGACGAGGAGTCTACAAAGCTGATCGACATGGCGCTGACGATGGGCCTGACCATGTCGTAGTGAGAAACACGGGACGAGACACACTGCCACAACCACTAGGGGAATTACGGTTAAACATTTAACATTACACACAACAGTATTGCGACGTGTCTCTCTGATCTAGATTTTCCTTCACTTTTTTGGGGGTCCTCGTCGAGATCGTCTCGTAGTGCAAAACTCTGTTTGGCAAGGTGTTTGTTTTTGCTGAGCATTTGGTACTTTGCTGACCTCGTAGACTCGTCTCGATAACAAGGGCAATCTCAGCGTTCTTGGCGATTCCTGGAGGTTATAATATGCTTCAGTAAGTGATGTATTCCATTTACACGGTACGAGTGATATTGAATAATGTACTTTGAAATGATAGGAGCGTCTTTCTCTCTAGAAGTGATGGTTCTGACCTAGCCAAAATAGTAATAGTAATCGGAACCGCCGACACTCATCCCACCTACCGTATGGCTTTCATGACTTTCATGGCTGTCTTGCCGCCCATCATGCCGCCCATGGCCCTGGGTTTTAAAATTTGCTCATCCTCGCCGCCTTCATGCCTTTCATGGGTGTCGCTGATACCAAGGAGGCCAAGTGTCACTGACACCCACCCCAACTGGGGTTGGGGTTGGGGCTTTCGTGGCTTTCATGGCTTTCATGACTTCCATGGCTTTCTTGCCGCCTTTCATGCCGCCTTTCATGTCGATTCTCAAAATTCGGTGATCTTCGCCGCTTTTTGCACCCTTGAGGTATCCAGCTACTGCCAAAAGAAGGCAGAAGGAGGCAAGGATTCGGGTCAATATCGCGTTGGTGTTCATGTCGTCGCGTTGGCAATAATTGCGTTGCTACCTGCACCTAAAAAAGAAAGGAAAAAAAATCGATTCTTTTTTGGTACGCAGGTGACAGCAAGATTTGTGAATTGTGCCATTTTGATCTGAATTCGGAGAGAACAGGAGATTGTTTTTTTCCGACACCAGGAAAGCTATCCATTACTCACACACGTAGAATCTTACGGCAGAATAGCCTATTGACATTTAACAGTGTCAACTCTTGGGTCGGGGCGGAGGTGCGAAAAAGTTGCCCATCCCTTAATTATTTTGCGTAGTACGTTTCGTACTGTAACAACTGGGGAGGAAATCTCACCGGAATGTCACCGGGATTTGGAAATGGGGAGCGTGCATTCAGTCTTGATTTTGGCCGCCTTTTTCTGTTGAGTCCGTCAACGGATTTTTGTTCCATTCAAGGCTTAAACTATTTGCAAGAGGGCATGTAGAAACCCTGGTCTCAGGTGCGTTCAAAGCAATCTACGGTGTTCTGTAATGGTAAATCGTCTACCGGTGGACAAGGTTCGTTGTCATCTCTAGAAGGGATGGTTCTGGCCCTCCAATTGCCTCGTCACAAGGTTAAATTTGATAAATTGTTTTGTTGGCAGCAGCCTTGTGCGTGGTTACATGTAATTTTGATGCTACTCAACGGTTACGGCAGTAACCGTTGAGCAGCTCAACATTTCCATGTACTCAGGGCTCGTAGTATTTTTTAGGTACAGGATTTGTTGAGCAGCACAAACACTAGTTATTTTTTGCTTAAGTAGTACATGCACCTCAACTGGTTACAAAACCGCACGGACTGAATTTTGTAACCAGAATTTTGTAACTAAACTTTTCCCTATAGAGAGGCCCTTCTTTTCTCCGTGATACTACTACTAGTAATCTGGTTACATTTTTTTCAGTCTGGTTACAAATCTGGTTACAAAAAGCGCACCGGTGCGCTTGTAACCACGCGACCATCCTCAACAGATACAGTCTTGGTTTCTCACGATTTTGAGTACTGAATAGTACTATTTGTACTACAAAGTACATGTACTCACTAAAATCGTGACAGTTTTTGATGGAAAAAACTGATCTTTTTTGCTATTCTAGTACAAACTCAGATAGAAAATGCCATAGAAATCACGATTTGCAGGGGGAAGCAAGAAAAAAAAGCAAGCAAAACAAGCAAAACACACAACAGGCAACAACAACCATGAGGACCAGAAGCAACAAGTCAACAACGCCTCTGGCAAAGAAGAAGAAGAACAAGGACGATGACAGCGTCGACTGCGGCGCGTGGCCAGAATTCAGGGAGAGCTTGAGAGAACTGTCTCAATACAGTGCTCAAAAGAAAAACAAGCTGTTCTGCTCCTCACAGCAAGATCCAAGCTGGAAGAGCATTGGTGCTGAGGTAACTTGGGGGACAGAAGAAAACGCGCCGGCGCCCAGTCAAACAAGCGCAGCACCAACAACAAGAAGAATCCAGTTGGTTCCAGAAGAAGATGCAGCAGCTGCTGCAACAAAACCAAGAAGAGTATCTCTTGATCAAGCAGACAAGACTACACCAGCAGCAAATCAAAGACCATCGACAATCCGAAATCCATACACAAACAACAAGAAGAAACGCACCACCAATGTATCCGCAATAAACAAGAAGAAAGCTGCTGCCACAGCAGCAGCAAAGAAGAACAAGAAGAAAAAAACAAAGGCACCACCACCAGCACTGGCCCCAGCTGCAGCTGTTGCTGCTGCTGCAACTGCTACTACTGTTGCCGAATGCGCCGAACAAGCAAAGCTTGAAAGCTCATTAATAACCCAAACGCCTTCAACACGCTGGGGAGTGATGAGTATGCAACAGCTGAATCAAACACCAAGGGGTATGCATCAAAACGATACGGATGCCTCAAGCGCTTTGTTCAAACCATCCTTGAGGCTACAAATCCAGAAACAAACAGTCCTGGAGACTCAGTGATGTATGAGATGTTCACCAAGAAGGTCCCTATGAATGATGGGCTAACTGAAGACTATTTATTCTACAAGAACGTTGCTGGTAAAAAGGACGCCCTCAAGAAGACTCTGATGAATCAAGCCCTTATGATCTGGACGTTTAACATTAAGAACACCAAGACCGGAGAGCCCCTGGATACAAACACCCATTCGGTGTATGTCCGCGTGCTGTTCTCTGCCTTCCACAAGAAGGGGATCCAGTTCAATGAAGCTGACTTCAAAGGAAAGGGGTCATTCCATAGTGCTATCAAGCTTGATTGGAACAAGAAGCGCGCTGTTGACCCAACGCTTGGAACCAAGAGGAATAAGGCTTCCTTTGATGAGTATGGGAATGCTAAGTTTGCAAGCTTGCTTCAAACTGGTGTATACAAGCCTTATTCCAATATGAAGGACTTGCTGAAGATCCTCACCATGGAACTGGGCCGACAGTTTGGTCTCAGGGGAAGGGATGAAATCGTCTTTCTTAATTGGAGCTTCATGAAGCTTGGAAGCTTCTCCCTTGGAAAGATGGAGAGCGATAGATATGTGATCATCGCTCCCGGTGGAGGCTTCGATAAGGGGAATCAGCTCAGCTTGCACAATCCAACTGTAAGTGAAATGTTCCCCATGGTAGTCGAGGACAAGACCAATCCGTATTGCATTGTAAAGCTGATCTTCTTCTATAGACAGAGATGCCATCCGGAACAGCAAAGGTTCTTGTGTTATACCAATGAGCACAGACATAAGGATAGTCCGTATCATTTCAAGTCTTCAATGCCAGTAGGCCAGGACGCTGTAAGGAAGTGGGTCTGTGAAGTGGCACAGGCTGCTGGATACAATGATGCTGATAAGTTCACTCCTCATGATAACAGACATCGATGCTGTACTGTGTTAGCATCTGATGTGAATGTTCCTGAGAAGCTCAAGATGAATCATCTTAGGCATAAGAGTGCAAAGTCCTCTCGAGTGTATGACCATGCAACGTCGACAACTCAAAAGAGAGTACAAAATACTCTTCATGCTGGCTTCAATAAGCAGAAGCCTCCTCAAGCCTCATCTTTGCCTTCTACTAGCAAGAAGAAGACAGAAGTAGTCTGCCCACTGGCACCGCAACAAACAACAAAGCAAATCATTGCTGAGCCATCGACCAATAAAAAGAATGTTCTTTTGTCATCCCCTGGTACTGAATTAAGTAGAACTTCTTGCAGAGCTAAAAAAAGCATCTGCAGTTGCAGCAAAAAGAAAAGCTGAAGCTGTTGAGTCCACCACATCTCTTGTTGATATCGATACTAACAAGAAACAACGTCGACTCACCCACGACCTTGAAAAGGATCTTGATGAAGCAAAGAAGTCAATTGCGGCGCTGACAAGTGAGTTACAGGAAAAGAAGCTTGCAATTGGTATTCGTGAGGGGAAGGATGAGTTTATGCAAAAAGAGCTTGAATGGGAGAAAGAAAAGACTGCTTCCCTTGAAAAGAAACTTGAGTCTGCAGCAAATGAGCTCAAGCTTGAACAGCAGCTCATCGCAACGTTGCAGTCGTCATTGCACCAGCAGCAACAACAGCGTCAACCGTCGTGTTGTTTTATGTAATGAAGATCAATGCAAGCAAAAGCAAGCAGCTTTGCTTACAGCAAGTACAGCAGTATTTAGTAGTAACAAGCAGCTTCCAGCTGCTGAGGAGGAGCGAAGCTTCCAGCAACATATCAGCGGCAATACAATTAGTGCAATACAATTAGTAGCGTGAAGAATAATATATTCATTTCTAATCATTGTTGTATATAAAGGTAATGATCATTAGTCTTTGATTCGATGCTGATGCAGTTGAATACTTAATGATATTGTTTGTAGAAGGTTCACCTCAAGCCAAACACAATAGATGAAAGAAAGACTGAACCATAAGTACGTACTACGCAGTACTGATTTAAGGCTTGGATTTTGCTCAAATCCTACGTGAAATTTGTACCAGGATCATGAAATCAGGCCAATTTTCATCCAAAACAGAAAAAAAGCAGCAATCCGGAGGGACCGGGGAGGGAAAAGAGCCCAATCCCCTACATCGGAGGAGGCAGTGCTTGTAGTTCATTTGCAGCAATCCGGAGGGACCGGGGAGGGAAAAGAGCCCAATCCCCTACATCAGAGGAAGCAATGCTTGTAGTTTGGTTGCAGCATCCAGAGGGACCGGGGAGGGAAAAGAGCCCAATCCCCTGTATCGGAGGAGGCAGTGCTTGTAGTTCATTTGCAGCAATCCGGAGGGACCGGGGAGGGAAAAAAGCCCAATCCCCTATATCGTGGAGGCAGTGCTTGTTGTAGTTCATTTGCTGGATCCGGAGAGGGACCAGGGAGGGAAAAGAGCCCAATCCCCTATATTGGAGGAGGCAGTGCTTGTAGTTCATTTGCTGGATCCAATCACAGCAACGGCGCTGCTGCTGCCTTCGGCAGCAGCGCTGAGTACATGGAAATGTTGAGCTGCTCAACGATTATGTAAAATAACTGTGGAGGAGCTCTGCTTCAGCTGGGGTTGGGGTTGCTTCAACAAGCTCTCGAGCTTGTTGAAGATACTTGCAGTAACGTCACTTCGGTCTCGAGCTAAAGCTCTCGGCCTCAGTGACGTTACTGGTGTACCAAAATCGATTTTGGTACACGTGCTGCGCGAGCTCCTCCACAGTTACCATACAGAATATAAAAGTGGTAGCTTTGTTATTTGATGTTTATCCTGTAACCGTTGAGCAGCTCAACATATCCATGTAACCATGCACGCTTAGTTACTGCGCGGATACAAAAAACTAACACTAACAAACGCTAGTTATTTTTTGCTTAAATACACGCACCTCAACATGGTACAAGCGCGCGGATTGAGTTTTTGTAACCAGAAATTGTAACCAAACCCTTCCTTAAGGAGAGCCCATATTTTCACCACGATAACACTAGTAGTGTGGTTACAAAAAAAAAGGGTCTGGTTACAAAAACAGGCGCACTGGTTCCCTTGTGCGCGCTTGTACTATGCACCTCGACAGGTACAAGAAACTAAAAACTGTCTTCACTAAATACAGTACTGTACGTACGGTAGTATTAGTAATAAAAAATGCGAGCAGTTTTCATTGAAAAAACTGATCTTGATTGCTATTCCAGTACAAGCTCGTGTAGAAAACACCATAGAAATATTGATTTGCAGGGGGAAACAAGCAAAACACCAGCAGGAGAACGCCGTATCGTATCAGCGTCCTCCGTATCAGCAACTCGTATCAGTGTCCTCTGTATCAGCGTCCTCCGTATCATATCAGCGTCTCCTCCGTATCATATCAGCGTCTCCTCTGTATCAGATCAGCGTCATCCGTATCAGGGAGCGTCCTTCGTATCAGGGAGCGTCCTCCGTATCAGTGAGCATCCTCCGTATCAGTGAGCATCCTCCGTATCAGCATCCTCCGTACTATCATCGAGCCTCCGTAAAGCAGTAACCAAGCGCTCGTGGTTACATGGAAATGTTGAGCTGCTCAACGGTTACGTAAATATCTGTGGAAGAGCTAGCGCAGCGCAACAAGTATCTTCACTTGTTCGATCTCGAGCTAAAGCTCTCGATCTCAGTGATGTCACTGTGTGTACCATAAATGTAACCAGAATTTTGTACCTTGGCATGTGTACCATGCGCTTGAGAGCTTTAGCTCAAGAGCGCATGGTACAAAAATTTTCCCGTGATAATAACACGGACACGCCAAGGTACAAAATTCTGGTTACATTTATGGTACACGCGCTGCGCGAGCTCCTCCACAGATATATCACATACCAGGTACCAGCAGAAGTTTGGTGCGTACGAGTAGTCGTACTCGTACTGGTACAAAAACAAATTCTGCAAATACCATGGTTTAGGGCATATGTGTCGTGACTTCTTCATAGTGGAAATTCAACGAACACAAAAAACATGCGTTTATTTTTCTTCCCACTGAATTTTAGTTCTTCTCCTATCCGCAATACCCATATTTTCGAGTATTTTTTTTGGTTGTCCGTTGTACAACCATAATGTGCGAAAAGGAGCGGCAGTATGTCCCAACCTACAAGATCATCAAAGAGCACGCCCCTTTTCTTCCTTCCGACTGCTTATTGTTCCCCTTTGATGTAATGATTTCAACACCTTCACGCCAACAAACATGAGGTTACCCAATAGACAGAGAGCTTTCAAAAGAAGGGCAGGGTGGGATCGTAACTGCATGACACCTTTGGTTATCTTGGGTGTACTATTATTCATGTTCAATAGTTACGGCATCCATCAGTGGCCAACAAAGCCAGCCAGCCAGCCAGCAAATAAGAATACAAACGACGAAAGAGTAGCTGTGACCCAACAATCACAAACGTCACAAGCGACATATACATCGACCAATGCCAGCAACAGCCAAACACGAACAATCCTTGATGTTCCTGCTAACCCGAATCCCACCTGTCAGCGGCTGCAAGAAACTTTCGGTATTGATTTTGCTGCCGTAAGTGCCCCGCATGCCTGGTCCTCCCACCTAGATCTTATCTTGGAGCGGAGCCAGCTTCCTGAAGACAAACAATTTCAAGAGAAGGACCTCGTTGAGTGGGCGCTTCACCAAATCACCCACCGGTTGCCACGAGGAGTCCAACACCTTCCTAGGGATTGGTCGCCCATGGAAAAAGTCCTTGAAAAGCTCGTTGCTAGGTACGAGCACTTAACATCGCCCACCAAAACAAACACAATACCCCCGCCCGTTACCATTTTGGTCATGGGGGGATCTGTTACTATGGGCGTCAACTGTTTTAGCCCGGGTTGGAGGGTAAGGTCGTTAAGGTGTGCCTGGCCCTTTCGATTAGAGTCTTTCCTCAACCAGATGGCCGGTTTCGGGGAGATCTATCAACGCTCCGACGATTCCACCAAGCTCGTCAAGGTCATCAACAAATCCGTTGGAGGTGTCAATTCCGACGTGGGGGAGACAATATTGCGGTACGAGATTCTGGGACCGAACACATATGACGTGATCATCAACGCATACGCTACCAACGATATGCATATTAATACTATGCAGGACGCCAATAAGTCAGGTGCTGATGCGTTCGGCGACTATATTATGTCAATCCAGCAAGAATTTGTCCGAACAGCACTCTCCCTTGAAACGTCGTGCGATAATAATGATCGAGGGCACCACCAATCGCCTTGGCTCTTGTTCCTCAACGATTACCTTGGAAACGAACAAAGATCCGTCTTGGCAACTACCGAAGGTGGACACGGCATCGATCTGTTGGCTTCCTACTACGGTTTTGGGGCAATTTCCTATCCCGACATGGTCAGGGACTTGGTTTACGCGAACACCACCGATCCAAATTTCTCTCCAAATCTATGGCACCCACCTGGCAAAGTTGGCATGCGCCGTGAGATTCATCATACAGCAGTTTTCCATAGAATTGCCGTCTTTTTGGTGTCCTATTACGCTTGGGTGGCAACCTCGACCTATTGCGGCTTAGTGGTTTGGTCGCCGGACCATAGTGTCTCTATCCGCAACGGCCTTCCACCCCGTCTGACCAAGCACTTGGTGTTGGACACCATAAGCGAGGAGTGGAAGAATCACGATCGCCTTCGTAGAGATTCAGTGAATTCCCCGATAGCTGTCACTAACATCTCATCGGAAAACCCGTCGGAGACTCCGTGCGCAGCTTTGGCCAACCCCCGTTGTGCTTTGAGTTGGATGAGCAAATTGAATTCTCTGTCAAATAATAACATCGAAGAGTATTTCGCCCCCTTTGTCCATCAACCTTCTACAACCTGGACCGTGGTCGATCAAGATTCCAAACCCGGTTGGTCTCCCCCATACGACGGCCTCGGACAGGCCTTGGTATTGGACGTTCCTCTGACCAAAAGGCCCGTCCAGACAGTGGTCTTGTTCGTGATGAAAAGCTACGGGGAAAAATGGGAAAACTCCACCGCCTCGGTTGAAGTCTTGCAAACGACCTCCGAGGGTACATCGTGGGAATCTGTTTTGGGACCCCAGTTTGTTACGGGATACCACGGCAAAAAGACAAGTGAGACGTATACGGAAACATTGGACCTATCCCGTATGTTGGCTCCTCCATCAACACTTCGGATTCGACTCTCGCTGCAAGGAGGACATACCTTCAAGCTCATGGGCATTGCCGCCTGTGATGCTGGTGGCGATAGTACCCACCTAGTTTCCGGGAGCCGACCGGGTTTTCCACGTCAATGTAGCATTTATCAGCGAGAGTCCGTAGTCAAGCAGCTTCCTGAGCAACAGTGCAACGAGGTGGCGTACTTTGAACAGGCTTGTAGTTTTACTAAGGCCACAACAAAGGGTTGCACCGATCCACATTGGGCTCGGGAGACGTATGCCAAACGAAGGCGAGGTGATGACCCCAAGTTTCGAGCTGTGTTTGTCGATAGAGCTTGCACGAACGTCCAACGGGTTGCCGATATTCTCCGTGTTGGAACCCACGACGTGCAAAAGTACTCTTTTGGTGGCACAGGTTGCCAAAAAAACGTGACTTATAACGATTCTGAGCCACCCTTTGCGTCCGAGTCGGTGTGTATCACGTCGCGTCCTACCAAAGAACTCAGCTCGGCAAAACTATCTGCGGGAATCACGGACGCGGAACTTCAAATCCTTTCGGCAAAAACCCTTGATGACGCCATAGATCGGGTTGGGATGAAAAACAAGCCTATTGATTATCTCTGGTTGGAGGGAGATGTGTATGAATTCTTTGCCCCGGGTGCCGCGGACGAAACCCTCTCCCGTGTCAGGTACCTTGAATTCCCCATAGGTTATGAAAAGGGTTCCTTCGAGGAGCTTGTGCTCCAGCGGTTGACGGAGCACAATCTTGTTTGCTACTGGAGTGGCACCAATCACAACCTCTGGAGGATAACCGATTGCTGGTTTTCTCACTATACAACAAAGGCCTGGGCAAAGGTGGCATGTGTTAGCGCAGCTCACGATGACGCCAGAATACTACTCGAGCGGATGGAACTTGTCTTTGCTGAGACCCTCCTGAAGGACCAAGTATTTGAGTGAAGACATCTTCTCCTCCATTGGTTTCAGCAGGGAGGTCCTATACCTTGAACCACTTTCCGGCTAGTACCTTTAGAGGCTGAGCTGATTTTGCTCTAGACGAGTAGTAGAGAGATGACAGTGCTGGGGGCTACTACTATCTAGTCCCAGTGCTTGTCACAGATCCTTTTGAGATTTATTCGATGAGCGTCGTGACGAGTACGTGTAGTACCTTCCTTGATTCCTATAGAGATGGGTTTCCATATCTCAATCGCTTCAAAACCTAGCCCTAGTATAAGTGAAGTTAAGGTCGCTAGAATCCTAGGCAAGCTATATTTCTAATTCTGTGCTTTTAATGTTTGCTGGAGTTCTCTCCAGTTTTTGCACCTGAGTCGAAGTCAGCCCCTACTGCGCAGCAACCCAATCGCAAGCTCAAAAAATCCACACCCAGTCAGCTACGCAAGGGAGAAAATGCAACTGGGAGAAATTGCAACTTTTCTACCAAAAACTACGTATTTAACAAGTAAGKGACTAAATTTGTACTTTAATGCAAATTAGTACTACTACTAGTACTACTACTGATACTACTAGGACCTCCTACTTTTACCAGTAGTTTCAGCATAAAAATTGTATAACCCATCTACCCACTGAACCCAACATGTTCATTAGGATGTTAAAATAAATTCCACCAAAAACTAGGTCTTGATCTGATCTTTAGTTGCTATTTTACACTACAATTACATTTGCTCTGTAGATTGGGCAGTTTATTGCATGCATTTAACACGTAAGGGACTAAATTTGTACTTAAATGCAAATTTGCATTTTCTCCTTTGCGTAGTCAGTGGATTTTGAAATACGGCTTCGATGCTCGGCGATCGAAAGAAGAGTTCAATAATACAATGGTAGGTTTCGATTTGGGTGTGGGGGTCACTCGACTATTCACATTTTGGCAATTCTACTGGTTTCCTGTAGAACCTACACAACAACCTTTAGTACCAGGTTCCTGTAGAGTTTACTCAAGCATTTCCGAAAATCGTCTTTCGTTATTGTTTCCAGTTTTTTTTTTTGTGAGTGCAAAAACAGCACTCGTAGCCTTAAAGTGGACAGACACCTCCTCTGTTGGTTCGATCTGAGTTCTTCCCTGAATCCTTGCACCTGCGCATTGTACCGGTAATACTTGTATTTGGTATTGGTACTAAAACCACAAAGGGCAATATTTTTTTTCCAGCTGATATTTGTTCCGTCCCAAATGTCGGCAGTTTTGATTTTGACACTGCCTCTCTCTCTGTCTGTGAGGCAGCTGGGACGTGAGGTATTGACGATTTTACCTACTGGAGCTGTGTACTAGACCCGCAAGAGGAATCAACCTGGTCGGCGCTGCTAAATAGAGGGCCGGTAGCTGTTTGAACAGTCCTGTCRCRTTAAGATTTATACTCATACTTAAGGGGGGGCTGGGAACTTTGAAAAAAAATTCTGGTAGCGTGGCCTATATCATGGTAGCATTTATGGTCGCAATCTGGTAGCATTTTTAGTCGCAATCTGGTAGCATTTTTAGTCGCAATCTGGTAGCATGGTAATCATTATGGTATTATGGTAACGTTTCTGGTAACGGATATTTTTAGCAATAGTCTGAAATTTTTGTTGACAATGGTGATGGTCCCAGGACTACTTTAAACTCCAACCAGGATTGCTTTCGATAGTTAACTCCTCATAAACAGCAGCCCGCACCAACAGCAGCAACAAGAACAAGCGTCCCCGGCAACTGCTACTAGTAGTAGCAACACAGTAACAGCACCAACAGCAAAATGTAACAAGCAACTCGCACAAGCAACAAAGCAAGGGTCTCCTTGAAGGCGTTCTCATAATTCTACAATGATGGCAAGAGCTGGATCATCAGCKTCGAAGAAAGGAAGAAGACAGCAAGAGCAAAGCAAGAACCCTGAGCCGGTCTACAACAAACTAGAACTATCRAAAAAGATTGCTTGTTTCAACTTTTGGTCTCATTTGAGAACTCAAGGGACAACAGGTTGGGATCCAAATAACAAGCCATCGTCGGTCTTCAATTACAGAAGTTCTGATTACATCCGAGCAAACATCAAGGAATCAAGTTGGCCCAAGATTGGGAAGGTGCGTTGCCGGTACTATTTCATTTGCTGACGACTTGTTCTTGGTGTAGACTCATCTTTTTTGTACCACCACCACAGAGCATGGCAACACTTGCTATTGATCTACAGAACCGAGGAATCAGACTAGTGGACCCGTATAAGGAAGTTCAAGAAAAGCTCGCAGCAATAGCAAAGAAGGAGGAGGAGGAAAAGGAACCCCCACCAGTCGACGACGACGAAGAAGAGGAGTACAAAGAAAACTACTACTACGAAGAGATGCCAGCACGCAACAAGAATATCGATGATGATGAGCTTTCAGCTCTTGTTGAAAGCAGCCTCAACTTAAACTGCTGCCAATGCCAGCAGGAACAAGTCCAGTGGGTTGGAGGATCTCTCTCCTACCCGATTCTTTCTGGAAGATGGGAAATATTTGACCAYGATACAGACACAAGCAATGCACTTTGCTTGGTTAGAATGCTCATTCATACTGGTGCTCAGGAATCAGACKTCAGCCTGAAGTGGATAAACAAGAGGATGTTCCGYGTGGCATACAAGTGGCCCAGCTTCATGCAGAGATGTATGATGCAAACCRACTTGGATATGACGACAACAAAGGAYGGAGTGTACCAAACTTTCCCTCCGGGCCATKYATTGTACACAAGCATGGGGAAGACAGCAAAGAAGCTCAAAGATGAAGATGGATGCATCTGGTCTGAAGGGTTCTTCAGGTTCAAGAATGATATGGACACTTCCATCTATGTTGCTGAGTTCCTAAGGATCACTATCCGGGCAAATGGGAGTGATAATGAAGGAAATATTCTTCAGATTCAATTCAAGGAAAAGGAGGAGGAGGAGATGAAGAAAGCAGCTTGCTTCCAGTCCCCTATCCGAGCAAAGAGAGGAGGAAATGTTAACCTGGGTAAGTCTGCTGCTCCTGTCTCTCCTCCTCCGCCGCCGGTTCCAAAGCGTCCCACAACACCTCCTTCATCTTCTCCGGCAGGAGGAGGAGGAGGAGGAGGAGGTCTAACCAACGAGGAGATCGATCGCCAACACAAAAAGAAGAGAGCAAGAACTAACAGTGATTTACCTCCTCTTTTGCCTCCATTGTTGCTTTCGCCTCCTACTAATGGTGGTACCAATGACGACAGTTTGAAGTCACCACCACATAGGAGCAGTGCCACTTGACAATTACTAAACAGTTCCGAAGACCTGGAGATTTCATTTGAGTCATTCCACTCCTTTGATTCATCCATTGTTTCCTCCGGAATAGATCCAGTGAGTACTTTCCACGAGGCAAAATCGTATTTAGATGATATTGAGAAGTATCTCAATGAACAGTACTAGATGTAGTAGCGCTTAGTATTTCCATGGCGCAAAAATAAAGCATTAGTAAGAGCATGCTTAAATGAACAATTTTCCTCTAGCAAGACTGGATGCAGCAGTAGTAGTTGCTTTAATGTACTGGAGTAACCCTTCRAAGACTGGATTCAAAGCTGGCATGCTTGCTCTGGGGACTAGTATTTTCAATCCCACCGGGGAGTSCGTTTCATGCAGCAGTAGGAGACTCAGTAGACTACTCTACTACTAGCTACGAAGGAGGTCAAGATTCACTAAAATTGAGCAAACTGGCAAGGCTACCCCCTTGAAAAAGGAATTTCTACAGCAAATTGCTGTACAGTTTGTACCAGGAAAGTTCAATCTAGATCAAGTTTGCTCTCCAGGGAGGAGGTCAAGATTCAATACTAAGAAAATGAGCAAACTTGCAAGGCTCCCCCCTTGCAAAAGGGATTTCTACAGCAAATTGCTGTACCGCTTGTACCAGGAAAGTTGAATTTGATCCATTTTGCTCTCCAGTTTGCTCCACTGCTTCTTGGTTCAACTACATAGTACTGCTACTACTAGTACTACTAGTAGTAGTACTACTACTAGCCCTCAGTTTGAAGCTGGTCTATAGCATGCTGCCACTTGTAATCCTAGAACAGCTCTGGTTGCAGAAGGAAGAAAATACTACTGGTACTACTACTAGTGTTAATGGTAGCTGCATGTAGCTGCTCTTGGTGCTACAGAGAACCTGTGCTATGTTGTTGTTCCTCCAGAGGAGGAGCTACTAGAAATAAGCAACATTGTAATTCAACCCATCTGCAAAGACAGTTGATCCAGATTGGATTCGTAGCTGCCCTACAACAGCAACAGCATGGAAACACAGCTCATGCTGTTCCATCATCGTCTGCTTGTTTGGTGTCATATGTCGGAAATGAACAGTGAGCACATTGAATTGCTTTAATCTGCCATTTATTGCTTCCTGCTGTGCCCGAGCATTTGATTTCATCTTCCTGAATGTACTAGATAATCCCATCTCAGGACGCTTGAGTCTAGGATCTCTGGTGTATCCACTGTCAGCCTCTACAGCTTCTTCAGCATGTATTTGAGTTCCTAATCCTTCAATGAATATTGTCGTATCGTTAGTACTTCCAACAAAAGGACCATTCACCCAGACAATCCATCCAGTCTTCAAGCAAACGGCTACTTCATACTTGAGGGCCGGTCCATTGAACTTGTGGGAAAACATCTCTTTTGACCAAGGATAAGGCTCRAAGACAGGACAGTCTGTTCCATCGACACTTATGAAACAGTTTGTGTGAACGTCTCCACTGTAACCATCAAATCTATTATTAAGACTAATTACGTCATCCTTTAGCTGTGCAATCCTCTCCACAAAGTACCAAGACCACTTCCGATAAGTCTTTGGACAGGGCCATCCAACRATAGAGCAGTGGATCTCTACACTTGAATAGACCTTCAGGAAAACAAGCGCCCACAGYAAATGCTTTGGCTTTCCACCATCTACTGGTCCGTGAGCGGTAATTCTATTCCACAGGTTTGCTACTATTTCAGCTGAAGCTCCAAAACACGATTTGAATCTCCTTTCCTTTTCATTGCTCCATGATCTACGCTCTGGCCAACAGAGGACCTCTTGCGCTATGAGATTAAAGTCTTCTTTTGTCAGGAGTGTCATCGCAAGGGCCGGCGTCGACACTGCTGAGGAGGACGAGAACAAAACTACAGTTCTACTCCTCTGTTCAATACCTGGAGACAAGCGCTGAATCGATGTTTACTACGTTTGAGAAACTGATGTTAGTTTTATTGTCTGAATCCAATTGGAATTGCTTGAAATGAGCAAATTACCATGGTCACTTCTTTTATTGCTGCTAATTCTGAAAGAGTGAGTTTACATCCAGCAGCAGGAGTACCAGCTAGTACCACTCGTCGTACTACTCGTAACAACCGTAGTATGAGTACTAGTACGTACTATAAGTACAGTACTTCAGTCCTGGTAAATGGAGGAGGCTTGCCGGCGATAGTCCCAGTCCCAGGAGTACAGAGTATGTGGGGACTCTACTTGTATTAGTAGATTTTTTTTCTGGTAGGAAAAACACGCTACCAGATTTGGACAAAAAATTCTACCAGAATTGCTACCATATGGTAGCATTTTTAGTCGCCATCTGGTAGCATTAATTGTCAAAATCTGGTAGCATGTTTTTCCTACCAGAAAATTTTTCATAAATTTTAATTTCTTCCAGCCCCCTCTCAAATTTTCAGGTCCGTTGGAATCAACATTCCTACTGACTACGTACTCTCTACAGGGCGCCAGCGAGCTTTAGTCCCATGACCACAGTATTGCCTGGTAGCATGCCTGGCGTGGTAAAATCGTCAATACCTCACGTCCCTGTAAGTTTTCACTATATTCCTATTGGACAACCAGACAAGTACGTCCTTGGGTACGTACATTACGGTAGTACGAAGCACAACACTCGTAGAACGTAGTACCATACGGTGAACAGTGACACCCACCGGACCTAAATTCCATCCGTACTACCGTATCTACCGTATGGTACGTACGATGCGCATTGCGATGTGTCGATTCATTCTGTGTTTCGTATTTGGGGAGGTGAGTGACACCAAGATCGTGATACATACCTTTTTTGGCGTCTGCGGAGCTCGGCATTCGTCCAAACCGGACGGATTGATCGAGGGCAGATCAAAACAAAAACCATAATAACAGCCACGGCGAATGGAGCAGACCCTCCCATTCCGAAGAGAGAGAGGGACGTTCCATGCGGCGGGCGATTTGCCTTGTTTCACCGATAGCAACAGCAGCGACCACACAGAAGCTGAAGTTACAGCGTCTGGCAACGCAACGCTACACATCGGCATGACGAGAACCGGGAACGAAAAATTCACGCGATCCAGCTGGTGCAGCAAAGGCCATTCTCCGAGAACGAATGGAAGCGGAAGAACGAATCGGACCGGGCCCGACGATTGCCGCATTGTGTTCTCGGGTGCTTCCTCCGGAGGGGGGCCCCGGCGAGGCCACGCTCGACGGACCCGAAAGCGGTCGGGGCAACCCCTGCAGCCCCGCAAGAACGATCCCTTGCACGGGTCGAAGAGTCACAGCAACAGCATCAGCAGCGGCATAGCTTCCGACACATTCTATGGCTCTCGCCCGCCGCTGTTGCACTGCCTGCTCCCTTGCAGCGATGGTGGCAGTGGTTGCTGTTCTTGTGGCTCTTGTAGCAACAGAAGGTGGAGAAGAACAAGCATGGTCCATTTCCCATTGGGTTTTGGACAGAGCGTAGGGGAACGCGATGACGAGACACCGTCGGTGGTGATCCAGGGCCCACACAAAACTAGGACGGTGACACGCCAACCCGCCGAAAGGACCGCCACCACCACCCTACGGAGACGGAGAACACGGGCGAACCGGCGGACCCAACACTTCCGCCGTTGCGACCCGGAAGTTTGTCGCCTGGTTCTGGTGGCCGTCGCGATCTGCTGCTGCTGGTGGCTCCCGTCCTCCGCCCTGGCCAAGATCCGCGTCCCCTCGGTCTTTGGCTCGAACGGCCCGGATTCCGACGAAGGGTCGCCGGGGCAACCGCCGGGAGTTGGGGCAAGACGAGGCAGCAACGGCGGGGGAGGCGACACCGAGGTTGTGACGCCGAAAACTGGGCAGGAAGAACCAGAAGCGTCGTCATACTCGGAAGCAGCAGCCCCCCTCGACTTTGAAGCCGTGTTCAACCAGTGGCTCCGCCAGAACTGGAGCGACGAGCCAGAGCCGCCGCCACCACCGTTGGCGGCCACCGATTCCAAAACAAAGGCCGGCTCCGGACCAAGGCCGCCTTTCGTGGCGGCGTTCGCGGCTTCCCGCACGGAGCCATACCTCTCACGGCTGGGGGACCGCCTCGAAAAGATCCGCCGGTTCCGGGTCGGATCGGCAAGGGCGGCGTCCGACTTCCTCCGCACAGCCTCTGGAGCCGCCAGTGATCTGCTGCGCTACGACTTTCCGGTGGGGCTCGTCGCGGTCTGGTCCGTTATGGGGGTCCTCCGAAGGGTAGCCGGAGGGAAGAAGGGCGGCGCAAAAGGACGGCGGGCCGGGGGCAAGGGGACGACTTCCACGGAAACCGGGGCGGAGGAGGAGGATAACCTAGACACCTACAAGTACATCCTCCGCCACACCGGAAGGGCCCTGGACCTGGACTCGGACGACCTGGTCTCGTACCGGTACCACGGCGGCATCGAGCGGGTCCGGTCGCGGCTCCTCCGGTCCGTCCTAAGGGGGGAGCTGGAGGGCCTCCGGGCCCGCAGCAGCAGCGGGGACGGCGGGGAAGCCGCCAAAGGGGGATTGTTCTCCCAAAGGCAGCGACACTCCAGCGGCACCGGGGACGAACGCCAAAACAATAGTGAAGACGAACACGACACGGAGCAAAAACTCCTCGAGGCCCTGCTGGAGGCTCTGTCCCTGGAATTCATCCCTGGTGGTTCGCATTCGAACTACATCCGTCGCATGATTCCCTCGGTCAGCAACGCGGAAGAACTCGCCGGCAGGATGGGAATCACCGGCAGCGACAGCGAAACCGATACAGAGCCGGATCGGTTGCTCCTGGCGATCGCACTGCAAACCGCCGAGGTGAGGATCCTCGACTCGCAGCTGCGGTCCGTCCGTGATCGGCTGGTCCGGACGACCTACCGGCTGCACAAGACCGTCAACTACTGGAAGTCCAAGGTCGAGTCGACCCTGCTGCTGGCCTCGTCTCCCGGGGGCCTGGGCGCCCTGGCGAACGGGATCTCGTCGGCCCACAAGGGGGACCTCCTGCCCCTGCCGCGGCTCCGGCGGAGGTGGTCGAGGTTTTTGTTTTCGCTGGGGAGCAGCTCGTTCGGCAGCAAACACCACAACCGCGGCCACGGCCACGGCACGGGCACCCAGCAGCAACAAAACAGCCTACTGGAGGGGGACCGCCTCCGCCTCGCCTTCGCGGAAGCCGCGTACAAGGCAGAGATCGTGCGGTTGGGAAGGGTCCTGAGGTGCATTAGCAACAGGCCGGACGAAATGCCCGACTCGACGCTCACAACGGCACTGATCGACCAAAAGCAGCGCAAGGAAGCGGAGAAGCAATCCAGACAAGATGCCGTGTCGGCGCTCAGCAGCAACAGCAGCAGCGAAAACGAGCTCGAAACAGCATTCGGCGAAAGGGAGGCGACAAATGGAAAGAAGCAACCAATCAGAGTTAGAGTGGCGGCCGCGAGGGAACGACTTGCAAATCGTCTTGTTCAAACCAAAGCCCCCCGTAACAACCAACAGCCCGATATGAACAAGCAGCACCACGTTGCCAAAATGGCCGGTGCCTTTGCATCCGTGGTATCGTCCTCGTTCCTTCGTCCCCTGGGGGCTGCCACTTCTGCGGTCATGGGGGCCCTCAACAAGACCAAAAAAAGGAGCCGGAGCAAGCGGTTCGACAAGTATTTCGCAATCCGGTTCAATGCCGACGGGAGGGGCAAGTTCTCTGTCCAGAACTTTGACGAGGGCAGCGTCACCATCGAAGGCGAGACAGCCCGGAACACGCTGCTGTACAACACTGACTGTGATTGCGACCAGCAGAACTGGCTTGGGCAGGCCGATGCCTGGTCGTTGGAAGCGAGGGGGCTGATCGTTGACACGATCCAAGAAACCGTGGAAGCCAGCATTCCCGCCAGCAGCGGAATGGGCTCGCCGTTCCTGGGCTCTTCCACTCGGAGCGAATCTAGTGGTGCAGAACTGACCAAGCTCGAGACCGAATGGCAGGTGAGGCACCAGGGAACTCCGGTCGGGGAGGGAGGCGGTGGTGGTGCCAACCAACGCCAATGGATGATTGTGTACGAGCTTTCCCGCGACATCAACCGACTGAGGCGCGTCGGGGAAGGAAAATCCCTCAAATTCAAGTGGAAGGAAGTCCACTGGATCCATTGGCTGCGACAATGGAATTTAATGGGGGTGCCATCAGCGGCACTCAACATCGCCGCGGCGATCTGGATCCGCGACAAGCTGCGGCCCTATATTCCGAGAGTCTGGGCCGTTGCCCGCGAGGTGCAGGGCGCGGTTCTCGAGATCTTCACCACGCGGTTCTGGACCCCGCTGAGAGATTTGGTGGACGAAATCATGAACCGGAGGAAGGGACTCGTTACCGGCGTTTCGCTGGCCGAGGAGGAAGCCTCCCTGGATACTATGTTGCACGATCTCGGGCTTGGGGACGGAACCCCGGCCACCCGCCACGGCGCCACCATCGAGGCCACCCGCATGTACGAATCCTACATGCGGAGCGGGCTGGTATGGCACGCCCTGGGCGGGCAGCTGGTCCGCCTCATGCTCATCCAGATGCAGCAGCTCAAGGTGAGCATGCTGGATGCCGCCGAAACGATCGACGTCCTCTTTCAATCCAATCGGATTAACATGCAACTCCTGGCGGTGGTGCCCGCGATCGGTATCGTGGTGGTCGGTACGAAAATTCTGGTTCGGTTTCTATTCAGTGTTCGTGCCAAAGAATTTCGCCCCATGGTGTCGGTGCACGCGGACATGACCGATTATCTAAACAAACTGGAAACGAATATCATCCTCCGAACGAGTGATGACAACTACCAGCTTCGGTCATATCCTGGTCGTGGTCTCAGCCAGCGCGAGAAGACTAATACTTCTGCTGCTCCTGCTGCTCCTGCTGCTAGTAGCAATCGTGTCCCAGAATCTACAGAAGAAACGCAATTAGGCGAATTCGCTCTGACGTTGTACAAGTATCTGCTGCTGTTGGATTATTCATCTCCGCAACTTTTGCCCAGTAGGCAGTGTGATGCCATTCACGAGTCTCTGACAGCATTTCTGGGTCGGAAGGGTAGTTTTCGGAGGGATAACTTATCGACGAATGGTCAGATTCGACTGATCGATCTCGTCAAGGGAAAACACCAGGACCTTTCCAAGTTTTTGTAGGTGCCGAAATCTACATAAAACGAGGTGATATGAAGTATGAAATGCTTCGTACGGACTATTTCTTTGTCGTATTTTCGAAGTCAGGATGAATTCCAGGAAAGTAGTAAACCCTGGTGTTAATACTTTAAGGTATCTTTTTAATCTCTCAGTTGACAATGAAAAATTCTACGTCTGACTGCAATTGCTTAAATAGTTCTTAATGGGATGCTAGTAATAGTGAAACAACAAAACTACGAAGTATTTTATGAGCTAGGCAACATACATCCGTACTCTAGATACTTGTTTCTGCTAGTATTGGATCAATGTACGTTAAGTACCTACGGTACGTAACCGACAGCACTAAAGTTGATTTAAGCGCAAAAGTTCTTTTTACTTTAAACCGCTTACGATTTACTCGCATACTGCGCATACCAAAGAATTTTTTTCCACGCGCCTTTTTTAGGTTACCTCGAGATATCATAAGACTTGATTTTGAAGCACGCGCAACGCCCCCCTTTGGCGAGAGAGAGAAAAATCTTTTCGATCGGTCTCGCTCACATTTTCTATGGAATGTCAGCAGTCCGTTCCGATTTTTGCAACATGTTGGTTGCCGGTTGATACTATTTGTGTCCACATTGTCGTTAGGAGAAAGAACTACTTCCATAACCGACCGTTGCAACATGTGTGATTTTATTGGAACATAAACATGTAAAATTCGGATTTTTTTTTTCCCTAACATTCTTTCCTTTTCGTCATGTCACAACAAAATAAGCAAAATATATTGATACCGTACCGTATTGCACTGGTACATGGTGGTGCAATCTATTGAACAAAACAGAATCTGATCCTGGGCAGGCAGATCGCACAATGAGAATCGTTTCCATCGTTCAGGGTGTGTTGATGCTGCTGGCCGCTGTTCGCTCGGAAGTACCTCCGGCCGAGCAAGCTGAATCCTCGCTGCGGGGTGGACAAGAAAATGATAGCGTTGGTGCCGAAGAGAGCCTTCGCCAACTCCGGAGCCGGCTTGGTTATAGCGGGATCTGGCGAGGTAGGAGCTACAGAACCACACGAACCTACGTCGACGATTACGATGATGATGATGACGACGATGACGACAACAACGACGACGACGGCAGCATTGCCGGCAGGTACAATTTCAAGTCTATGAAGAGAAGCTATCAAAAAGGAAAGGGAGTTGGAAAAGGGTATGAATTCAAGTCTATGAAAAAAGGTTACGGAAAAGGAGATGGCAAGGGGTACAATTTCAAAAAAGAAAAAAGCTACGGCAAGGGCAAGGGTGCCTCTTCATACTCCAAATCCTCGAAAAAGCACTACGGTAGTGCGAAGGGAGGTGGCAAGGGGAAAGGAACTTCTTTGCACTACTACGACAGCAAGAAATCATCCAAGAAGAGTAACGGTAAGGGCAAGGGGAAGGGTATCTCGTATTATTCCAAGTCGACTAAGAAAGGTTACGGAAAAGGGAAAGGAGCCTCCTCATATTCCTACTCCTCCAAGTCGGCTAAGAAAAGTTACGGAAAAGGCAAGGGAGGCGGCAAGGGGAAAGGAAAAGGATCTGCTTCGTACTACTACTACTCCAAGTCGTCCAAGAAAAGTTA